TGAGTTGAGGTAAGCAAACGATCCTATTTGGCCAATTTGGGGAATTGGCGTGACCGCTAACATCATCTTATCTCCCATCACAGAGCGTTCCAACTTCCCCTTGAATGTGATTTTATATCGTTCTCTCGACATTTGGTCTGGATTTGTGTCGTCTCCAGCCACACCTCCGACCGAGTGGGTGAAACTATTCCGGAACCGACTCGCCAAGTGATATTCGACAGGGAAAACCCCTGGGCAATGATATATAGTATCACACGACCATCAATTATGACGCATAATTCAGCCCCGAGTGGCCACCAATCATCTCTGCACCATTTTTAGCGAAACTTGACGTCATGTATACGGCCATTAGCTCAAATATGATGAACACGAGCAAGACCACCTCTCTCTCGCTCCCTTCTCTCATTCATTTCTATTCGAAACAACGATCCACGTCCCGCTATGGCCCCTAACAAACCGTTCATCACTTGGAAGGAATTTAAAGAGGACATTAAGGCGGCGTCCATCGAAGTTATCGGTACTGTAAGCATCTAAGGAAGCATTCGGATCTTTCATCTAATTGGGCCTTCAGACTGTATTCCTTCTCCTCGCACTAGGCTCCATCCAGTCCGCCAAGTTGTCCGTCGTAGCTACACAGGGAGCTCAAGTTGCAGAGTTTGGACCACACAGTTTGGATCATAATGTCTACATATCTGCATCGGCAGGAGTATCCCTCCTAGCTAGTGCCTGGATGTTCTATCGTATCACTGGAGGATTGTTCAACCCAGCCGTCAGTCTAGCCCTACGACTTATAGGTCAAATCACTACTGTCAGACTTGGACTTTACCTCATCGCCCAAGTATGCTCTGTCACATATAGGAAGAAACTACAGCTAACTTTTACTGCCCCTAAGCTAACAGGTGCCATTATCGCATCCGCCCTCATCCGCGGCCTCACTCCCGAACCCTTCCTCATCATGAACAAACTCGGAGAAAAGATCAACGTCGTCCAAGGACTCTTCATCGAAATGTTTTGCACCTCCATTCTCATGCTCGCCATCCTCATGCTCGCGGCCGAAAAGAGCAGACTTACGCCCATGGCACCGATTGGCATCTCGATGACACTCTTTGGGTGCCACATGTTTGACGTATCCTTCACTGGTGCATCTCTCGAACGTTTGGCCCGGCGGTGATCGGAGGGTTTGGAAAGGAGCATTGGATTTATTGGGTTGGCCCTTTGGTGGGGAGTTGCTTGAGTGTCGGATTCTATGCATGGCTTAAACAGTGAGTTTTATACCTCTGCGGGTCTCAGTCTAGTGTCTAACTGTGTGATGTAAAGTACGAAATATTGGAGGATAAATCCGAGACAAACTTCTACGGACCATGGCGAGTCACCCGAAGACCCAGCGAAGCGCATAGAAAGCGATTTAGAGAAGGAAAACCGCGAGAATATGAACAGGGAAGGAAAGGTAGAAGGTCACCGAAATGGGGATAGGACCGCGGAGAATAATGTGTAAGAAGCAGACATCTAACATTTATATTGCAGAGTGCTCGCCTTGTATGCCGAGTTAAATATTCTTTTCTATGAAATACTAATTTTACAATTGACACTCTTAAAGCTTAGGAT